CAATTCCAGGTTATAGTTATTTGCTTTATTGATTTTTACATATATTTTTACAATATATTTCACTATAAGTTTACAGGTATCACCTGTCTACAAGCTAAAACGCGATTTAAAATCATTGCTAAGCGAAAACATTATTTTAATAAAAAAAATAAGAACATAAAATTGCTGGTTTTTTAGCCTCTATGGAAGTTAAGCCTATTACCTTTTCAGTGAAATTCTCTGCAGAAACTTTCCTCATAGGCTTGTTTACATACAGTAGTCATCACTTTAAAAATATATATGAGCTACAGTGTATATCCAAACTATTACCCAGATAAGGGAAAATACTTGTATTTTCAGGATTGAATACTTGAACCTATGAGAGAGAATAGCACTCTTATAGATTACTTAACATAATAGGCTTAGAAAGCAGCCGACCGGCAGTCTTTAGGACGGCCTATTATTATTTAGGATGGCCATTTTTACTGTGACGGCTTGGCCTAATCAGCCCGGCCTAGCCTAATTGGGCCTGGTCTACCTTTAGCAAATTCTTTATATTCTTCAAATTTATCGAGTGTTACAAACTAAAGGTAAATCATATTTACGTTTAATAAAAACAACATTTATTGACTGAATGTACGTTGTTTTCGTAACAATATTCGGTAAGGATTCCCAAAGATGGGCATGGCCGCCATCGGCTCAGTGCCACGCCCATTGGCTTCAATTTTGGACGGCCTATATCGTTTTTCTGTCCAAACCCCTGATTGACATTTTGTATAAATCAAAGCATTTGTAACAATTACTAACTTAGACTATGCTATTACTAAGGAAGTTTTCAAAGAAATATTAGAAGTGGTCGTACCAGTGGGGGTCTGGGCAATTCCCCCATCAAACAAGCATGGATACCTCATTGGACAAGCATGGACCCACATCTTCCCCCCATTTGTCCAATGCCAAAATGAGGTCAGATTAAAAATATTGATTTGCTAAAACCAAACAAAGTTATATGGTGACTGCTCATCCCTAATATTGTAGCCTAAATGCAAAATGTTTGCCTTTCTAAACCCTAAAATCATCCCCATGAATCCCACCAGGGATTTTATTCCGGGGCCTGACTGAAGCTCTTGGCGATCCCTTGGTACAGACCCTGTCAGCTGGGGCCACCACTGAATTGTAGGCCCCTTGATTTTGCTTGTTTTCTAATTGATACCTTTTTTAGCCGAGTTTGAACCTACAGTACCATCTAGGCTTTACCTTTTCCATGTCACATTGCTATACATCATTTACAGTGATTAGCACAAGAAACTTTCATTATGATTCTGAACAACGCGAAAGTGAAAAATAATTAATGCAGATTGAAAGAAGTGATAGCGAAGCCAACGGCACTTATTAATTAGCAACGCATGTTAAGTCATCACCGCATATAAATTACCACTCTGAATCAGGCCTTCGGGATCTGCCCATTAAGTTACGTATTTTCCCAAATTTAATTGTTTTGCCAGTAAGCTAAATAGCCGAGGAGTCAAATAATTTGTTACTATCCGTGAGCAATTCGACCACGAGTTCCACTGATTCATGCCCTCAATCAGGACAAACGGAATCTCGCAGTCGTCTCCACGGCGATGATTCATAAGCGAACCAAATTATCCGACATCTGTTGGATGAATGAGTGGCGGCATTATTTGCAATGAGGCTGATTGGAAATTTTCTGGGCCATTCATGACTGCGAGATCATTTCGAATATCAACTTGAAGATGTAACATGTCAGGAATTTGAGTTAATTACTACAACGATTGACACAGAACTTAGCTCGGAAAAATGCGGTTAAGATAAGCAAGAACAATTATCGTTTATTCCATAGGTGATGTGAATTAAGATCTGGCAATCAAGAGGTAAACAATGTGGAGTAATGAAAGCTAGGACAAATGAATTCTCTTTGTTCTTGACTTATTACGTGACCTGAATATTGTAATGAAGACCTTTGTTATTATTTTAATTACTCTGTTTAAATATTATAACTTTATATTTACTTATGGTTGATTCATAAACAAAAAGAACCAGCAGCATATTGTTTAAACATATAAGCATGGTTGGATCATATATGAAAGAAGATTAGCTCTGAACAAAATTAATAAAAACCTTTGTTATATTTCAATATATTTTAATTACAGTATTCTGTTTGAACATACAGAATGTGTTCTATTTTCTCTATGGTTTAAATATATAATAGCTTTACGGTTGAATCATAAATTAAAGAACAGTACTGAAAGCCAAGAAATGAAAGCCTTTGTTATATTTAAATTATTCTGTTTAAATATAGAAATTTATCTTTATCTATTGTTGAATCATAAATGAAAGAACAATAATGCTGAACAAAGGAACAAGATGAATTTTATCTATTTAAGATACAAGATAAACAATCATCTATCTTTACACAACACAGGCTACATTCATTGTTGATTCTAACTGTGAAATCAAAATATAATAAACTATTATGAGGATTAAAATGTATCAAATGACATTGGCCAGAAATAACAATATAACATTGTAAATCACTTGCAATATAAAGAAATATTGTAACATGTACAACAATGTACTAATGATGGTATGTACGATATCAATCTGAATTACACCCATCCATTCAATTAAATACTACCTGGGGGTATGAAAGACGCAATGGACTTTAATAATAACGTTAACGATGCATGAAACGGATTATCGGTGATCTGCTAATTAATCAAATCAGTCTTTGTATCTACAGTCATCTTCTTTTTTTTGGTTTCATGTAATGTATGATGGATGACTGATGTAGCAATCATGAGAAAAACAAAATATGAAAAAGAATGTCAATAAATGCATTCATTCTGAAATTATTTTTTTGCCTTCCCAAATAATTTAAACAACCACACAGGCCTACAAAGAATATTCTTCTCAATTGTTCTTCATAACTTAAAAATCAACCAAATGTTTCTTGAGTTTAAAGCCAGACTCCAGAGTGCGGGGGGAGGGGGGAACATTTTTTATGTTGTACAACTGATTTTCTAAGACACAAAAAAAAAGAGTGTTTGACAAAAAACTTTGGAACAATGAGATACAGATTTTTGAATACTTAAAAACTGGGAGAAAATGGGCATATCTACCTTTTTTCACCTTTTCAACCGGCCAGTTTTAGAATATAGTCAAACACCATTTCTGTGTTTAAAAATATCAGTTGTACAAACATATATCTATTTTTATTTATGTGTGTATGGTATGTAAATGTTTATATATAAGTATGAGTATATAGGTATCTATATAGGTATATATATGTATAACGATTTAACAGTTTATTTTATTATTAAACCTTAGCTGTTATTAGAAAGAAGACATTATAGTTATAGGAATTCAGATTAACGTATTTACAAATTTTCTCTTATATTATTTTAGATTGTAGACACTATACTTAATTTATTGCTTAATCATCTATAGATATAAAGAAACTAAAAGTAATTAAGATGTTGTTATTAATGAGTACAAAATATAATTTACAGAAAAGAAATAGAATTGTTCTTATAAATTTTAAACTTCTTGGCCTTTGAATTATTTTTGAACCTTATATATTAAAGAAATATTTAATTATGTAATTTGGGATTTCCATTTACAAGCTATGCTTCAGGAATTTTCCATTTTCTTTGATCTTTAAAAATGTTGTACATTTATATTTTTCGTAAATTTTTATGCTCAAAGGAAATAAATATTTTTGTCATTGTCATTGTCATTGTCATTCTCAGGTGGACAAGACCAACCTCCCAGCCAACTCTTTTTAAGAGCATCATGCTATAACTACCTTGCTGGCATACAGAAGATATGTTTTAACAGCTCTTCTTTAGCCAAGTTATTAATGTGCCTCATTTATTTTGGTTAACAACGATTAATAATACTAGACTCGAAATGTATAAAAAAAAAATCAGTGTTTATAATAACAAAAGCACAGATAGACTGATACACAATGAATTTTTTTTTTTTTTTAAATTTTATATATTTATTATTTTCATCTATTTTATTAAATAGTTAGTATATATTGTTTGCATTATCTAAATCATGTTTTACGTTGAATATCAATGCACCAACAAACAACCCAAGGGTGATATTTGGCTTTTGCAAAATAAAAAATTTAAAAAAAACCTCCCTCCCTCATCACTTTTTCTGCCCAGATAGGGTGATAAACTAATAATATTTTTTTTAGTGCCTAATTTTTTTAAAAGTAGAAACCCCTTTTTTGGGACATCCCTATAAAGGGGACAATTTTTTCGGTTTTTTGGTTCCGAAGGTATCCACTTAAAAGGGGTTCTCTACTGTACAGTACCTGTACCTTGTGAGGTATCTCTTTGTCCAGATTACGTAAATCTGAACAGCTTTCGAAGTCAAAGTAAACCTCTGAAAGCAAACATTTAAAATGCAAACAAAACAAATTTGCCTCAGTAAGCCAAATTTTCCAACCTGTGACTTCAGAACAATCGCGGTAAAATAATCCAAACAAGAGGTACATGTTTTAAATGTACAAAAACAGTACGCGTCAAAGATGCAGTACAAAGCGTCTGCTATACTTACTTTCCTGCAAAATAGTAGTTTGCTTTCACAATCTTCTACATGGTTATTCCGGGACCTATTAATTAATGTTTTTCTTTGTGTTATCTAAACAGTGCTTTTAGGGTCTACACAACAGTACTCTTGTAGTTATTTATCCTCCTATCTAAAACAGTTTAATCATGAGATCCCTAATACAATCTCAATATTTTGCCCATTCCTTTGATTAACGCCGACAGAATAGGCTTTTTCCCCATGTGCAAAGGGCAATATTGAATCATCGGACGTAAATTACAACCATTAATTTCTTTGATTTCCTGATTAAAATACATACATCAACAAACATTTTTTTTTTTATTAATATGTGGAAGAAAGCAAATAGAAAAAAAAATAAGAACACAAAGACCGTTGTTAAGCAAGTTCGCTGCTCAGTGGGCAAGGATCTTCACATCCCTTGTCCCCGGTTCAACTCCGATAACTGCTCTCCTCGTGTTTCCACTGGAATGTGGCAAGTTTCAATAACGAAAAACCTCCACTTTTTGATGCAACGGTCAAGAAGTAATACAGTCCATGTGCATGTTAATAAACGCTCTTCCAGGGCATTGGTCAATCACCATGTAAAACGACTCCTACGTATATAAAGTCTCCGACTTTTCTACCCCGAAAAATCCAAACCAATCAATCCGAGGGAAAAAAACAGAACAAGGATATGAAAAATTATGGGAGTTATTGCAGCAATTCTTTTATTTGGACATTTATGGAAAGAATATTTGAAATTTACAACTTCTGTTCGTACAAAGCATTTTATACCCCTCGAGATTTGACATTTATATTACTAGAATTAACTAAGTGCACATACACATAATTTTACATTTAACCATACCATTGACATTACTATTCAATAGTACTAGTAGTTATGGTTCAATTGGAGTTTCTCTGGATTAATGAAGTTTATTAATAACTTGACAATCAGTGGTCTGCCGATAAACCTCCCTTTGGGGCAAACATTGCGTGAAAGGACATAATAAGCTGTTTTTCTGCCTGCTTACCTATTTCTAGATCGCTTACACAGCTGCGCTTCACCAACTTCCAATAGGACTGTTTCCTAAGAGGTTGCGAAAACAAACAGCAACAATGTTGCATAAATTGAACAGTTGGAGCAGAAAACATGAAATCATAATGCGGTAACTACAAAGGCTCTTGACTTGTTCCATGGTATTTTCTTAACGGCAGTTCTCATGCTTAAAAAATGGACAGTACGTTAAGTTCTGCATGAGAAGCTGTACAAAATAGCAATCTCATTCTTCACGGTTTCTGTCAATTTGTTAGCGGCACCCTTGATCGTGGAACAATATCAAAGAATAACAGGGGCGGTACAAGTCTCTTAAAGCGTGCAACGACAAGCCATCACTTCATTTTATAAATTCCGGTTATTATTGTGAATCTTTCATTTCAATAACAAATCCGAAAATCATCGATTGAACCAAACACTTTGTAACTTTTCGGCATCAATAGAGAATTGGTTGTTTAACCGTAAGAATGACTCCTCCCCATCGTTGTCCTACGAAACATAAAACCTGTTCATGGAAACTAGATCCTTTAGATCAATTTTTCTCGTTTTGATCCCAGCCGACCAAGTGAGCTCAAATTATATCATTAGATTACAAACTTATTAATGGTTGATAATTCTAAATACTTAGAAATTTATTTTACATTTATTTGACAGGCATCTAATTAACAATGCTATTGAGTTCTTCATAAGATAATTCATGATGGGAAAAATTGGAGGTAAAAATTCTCTAATCAATTATCTTTACACAGGCAAGTGATTTTATACAGACACAATAAGCTTCAAATGAAGAAAATTTCTTAAGAGTAAACATTACTAACTAGAACCTGTAAATTTCAAAATATAATACCTCTCATACCAGGAGGGAGGTTAGGGAGGAACATTTACAGATGGAGGGTTCAGGCTACCACCTGAGCCCCACCATGGTTGGTACTTAAGTAGTAAATATTATGGCTATGGCACATCTAAATGGCTGGAAAGGGAACTCTCAGACTTAAATTTTAATTTCATTTCATTAAAGCCAGGCTCTGGGGGAAAAATGTTGATATGTTGTACAAGTGATTTTTTAAAGACACAAAAAAGGGCGTTGGAAAGCTCGGAAAAATTGGCAAGGTACCGAGACTGACTTTGAGTTTAAAATTTCTCCTTCTCACTGAAGTCTTTGGTCAAAAGATTTACAATCAATGGCAACACAATGCTACCCAGTCAACCTACCTGTACTTAGTGTGGATAATCAAGATGTCCATAGGTGTGGGACTTGCACTAAGCTTGAGTCATGTCTGGCTTGAGTAGTATTCTGAACATAGCCTGCCTTGCCTTTTTAGGCAGACATTTAGCTAACTATTTTGCAGACAATAGCATTTTATGGACATACAGTACTTCTTTGTCGGACTACCAAGTGGTCCATTGATCAGAAACTGCACATTAACATTTAATTTTAATTTATGAAACTAGAATTCAAACTATTTTTGTTTTTAAACATTAAAAATGCTTGTTTTAAGTAGTTTTGGTTAGGAATCTTAAGTCAAAATGAAACCTACACTCATTCTGCAGCAGAGGGTCATATTTTGATAGTTCTTCAATATTTCTTTTTCTCTCCCTTCAAGTACTTTAACTCTCTGTGGGAACTCCTTCAAAGTCACAAACATCCAGTTTACATTTTTTTACAATGTTAGAAGCCCCATATGATGCTTTGGTCAAGGTTTGCCTAATTTACCAGACTTTTTAGAGGCTTTCAAACAACCTTCGAAGAAGCTTTTGACTCTTCTGTTAGCCTTCAGGTAAATCAGCTTATTCAAAAAGTCCAGTAACAATTTTAAAGCAAGTGTTCATCTAAGCAGGATATTGTTCATCCTATTTAATATAATACCTGGTAATTGCCGGTATTTGTACCATAAGATGCTTCCAATGCCAAATATACTTATCACAGGTGAACTTATATGGATTCCTATTATTAAAATCACATAAATACCCTAAAATATTTTACCAATGAAGTGCTTTATAATTACCAGAATGTAACAGTATCAAAGATATAAAGGAATCAGATTTATGGTTTGCAAGCAACCAATGTATACGATAAAGAGCCGTGGCAAATCTTCTAAAAGCACATTCTATTTGCCAAGTCTTGCACACAACTGTACATTGTAATGGTGACTTCAAAAATTTGCCAATGGGTGGACTAACTAGTCCAACAAGGTCTGACCAAAGATATAACCTATCACCTCTGGAAAGGGTACCAGAGTAAAAATCCTGGTTGGATTATAAGGGGAGAGATTATATGGTTTCCAATATTTTAAAAAATTGGCATCCGAGAACAGCTGGTCTATGCTTGTCAAATACAATTATCTACATTGACTTCCCCCTCCTCCCCCCCCCCCTTCTCCTCACACTGATGCCACAACTGACTGCTAATATTAAATTCACACTTTACGATTATAAGATTAGAGATTTTTTTCCTCCAAAAAACAACAATTCCAATTGAGGGTTACAAAATTATCAGAATCATTGTTGATTACCGTATTATCTGTGTTGTCTAAGAATTTTGCTTCCACAGTACAATCAGAGCTGACACGTCATGGTACAATTACATTCCAATCTAACAACAGTTCATTCTATGTGTCATCATTATTAGGCCATAACAGATCCGTTGATTATGTATCTGCTAAGTTGGTCATGCACTTTAAGTACAGATTCATTAGAGAATGAAGGCCTACTGTAGTAGTAGTTTAGACTTTGTGTGGTGCCGAAATTTTTTTGAAATTAAATTGTTATTATATTTCCCAACTTTGATGAGCGCATGGTTTAAGTTACTGACAGTTTGCCACAAAATACTGGATTATAATTTTAATAATAATAATATCATGCATTCTACTAATATATAAACATCTAGTAGTAAAGATATTTGTGTGATGCCGAAATATTTTTTAATAGAATTGTTATCATCTTTACCATCTTTAAGGAGTGTACAAGTTCAAATGCTTGCAATTTTTTCTGACAGTTATGCCATAAAATGTTGGTTCATAAAAATATTAATGCAATATTTTTCTGACAGTTATGCCATAAAATGTTGGTTCATAAAAATAATAATAAGATTGTACAATAAAGGCCAAGTAGTTTTAGACTTTGTATGGTGCCGAAATTCTTTTATACACGTTATTATTTACCATTTTAACCGAATACATGACTATAAATGCTAGCAATACTTTACTGACAGTTTGCATAAAATATACATATGATAATAACCAAAACCAAAACATCTAGCAAGCAGTGGCATTGTCACACAATTTTTTAATACAAAATACAGAAGTACGCACTTAAAATTCACAACATGTACAGTAGTAAAACTACTTTTTGTAATTTTGTGGTGTAAGTGCCAAAGCAATTCTATAATATTGAAGACTCCCGCTTTTTGACAATGTGTGATGTGACAATTCTCAGATGTGACTATGTATTACCTACACATTCAAATATTTGCTGTCTATTTTAGAATCAAACATTATTTTGAGTAGTATCTACAAAGTATTACAATCTATTGATAATTTACTTTGGCTAAAATAAACAAAAACCAAGTCTCCCTCAAGGACAACTGCTCTGACTCCTTTAAAATTATGAAAACAGCTAGGCCTAGACCCACCAGGGAGTACCTAGCTGTACCTTGACCTCTCCTACTGAAGCAACCCAGACCACTAACCTATCAGCTGTTTCAAAATATCATGGAATGTTTAGGGCCTAAAATAAAAATTCCATCAAAATTCATTTTGTCAGGATTTTAAATATAGCAGCGTTGTTTTATCATCAAGCTTTTGATACATCAGAATATATTTTAATTCTGACATTTAGTAGATAACAAAAATACCAGGAACTGAATATTATACTCTGAAGCAAAATAGAAGTTCACATTCTTCAGCTAAAACACTTAATTTTCATCACAGACAGTTTCAAACTCCCATGGGGCAATCATAATAATTTAATAGCTAAACACTCATTTATATCACAGCTCATAATTTCAGATACTTCTAGTAAGTAGTATGGTTTACTCTACATTTTTAATTTACCACCTAACAATTTTAAGGTAGACAGAAATAATTATTTCTTTTTTTGGATACACAATCAATGTGGGGACATTGTTCTTCATCGTGGTACAGATAATAAATTACAAATACAAAACAAAATTAAATGAAAATATAAATTATATGAATTATAAGAAGCAAATTTATATCAGATTTTTGAAAGGGATTTGATAATAAATTCTATTATTTTCATGAAAAACCGATGCCGGGTCGTAAAAAACAAGGGGTTTTATAGCCAAAGATGGTTGGCGGGCCGCACACGTAGGGCCGAAACAAAATTGCACTTTGCCAACCTCTGCTGTAAAACCTTCACGAAGTTAAAATATTTGTTATTGTTATATCTTTGTACAACCTCCCAGATAAGATTTGCATGTCCTTAAATCAAATTATGTTATATTTCATCTGAATTTGCCAAAATTTCTGATCTAACTTATTTATGAAACTAACCTTTATGATCCTGTCATGGACTTTAAGATCTGCCTTTTCTGCAGGTCCAGTTTCTGTGACTCTCGACACTATTATTCCTTCCGAAAGTCCACCTTCAGCCTACGTAGAAAAAAAATCAGGTTAACATTTTCTTAGCAAAAACTGAAGATATCGTGACATGTCATGTGACATGTTAAAATGCATCTGTGACTGGCCAGGTGACATAAGTATAAAGTCACATGGAGAACAAGACAAAAGAAAATATGAAAAATGCAAAAAAATTCCTTACTTTTTCCTTCCTTTACAAGTAAAATATTGTTTATTAAATTTATGAACAAAAGACCAATGTATATAATATTCAGCTTATTCCAGATATTAATATTAGGAAGGTTATATGCCAGATATAAACACAATGCCATCCAACTGGTCTACATGATTTTAAGACCAAATATCCAATTATCAAAAAGTATCTTTTCCTTTCCAAGCACTGCAGAGAAAATATTCTTTCCATTTCGAGTCAAATGTTCTTTTTTTATCTAGTTTTAATTATTTTTCCAAGCCTATTTTTAAGGCAAACACCAAGGGACTAGTATTATATCACCTTATAAATTTGCCAGTAACATAGTATATTAATAATGCCATTCAAAATACAAAATTAAAATTTGAATTGTATTATTGGCCTATAATTAGCATATATAACATTTTCAAATTTTTTTTTTTTTTTTTTTGCAATGTAGGAAGCAAACATTAAGAGTCACAGAGGTTAAAAATAAGTCCATACCTAACCTAATCTTCTGGAATCCCTTCTAAAACTACCTGCCTGGAACAGGTGTAAAGTCTGCATTGACATTGTGATAGTCTAATGATTAGCCCCCATTGTTGCAAATTTTGATCAATCTTACAATAATTATCAAACTCGACCATTGCATCACTGTATCCTTATCCCCATTCTCTGACAGTACAGAATTACTCAATAAGGAGGAACTCATCAGTCGGACTTAAAGTAATCAAAGATTTCAAGAGACGATTCTGTAGCCAATCAAGTATTCTGAGGCTGGGCCGACAATAGATTTGTTTGATCTAGCATCAGTGAAAAGATCAATTGGATGCTCTTTTGCATGGATATCTGGATTGAGAAGTTTGTCGTCTATCGTTAATAGGTTTTATTCCAGTTTAATTGGAAAGGCAATTTTGGTCTGGTAAGTCTCCGATTAATTGGTTAATAGGTCTGTGGAGGTCATAGGATTTTGGAAGCAATTGCAATTGGACTGACTGCATACTGTAGGAAAAAAAATGAATGAATTAAAATGAGAATGGCCAGGTATTATTAACCAATACAACAACAGTAAAAATAAATACTCTGCCTATTCATAGTAAGCAGATAATACAGTAAATATGTGATTTATATTTCATTTTGGAAAAGATTCATGTCACTTTTTAGGCTGATTGACACAGGCCAACATCAGGGGTCCCAATTTGGAAAAATTCATTTTCAGGAGATCTGTAAAAATAAGCATTTTTAGCACATCAAATTTTATTTTGCTACTATTGGGGATACCCATAGACATTGACTTTCATGAGACAATTGATAACGAAGGGGTTATACAGTAGTAAAAACATGCAGATTTAATAAATTTGCAGAAGATAGGTTATTTTCTGGAAGATTCTTGCTTGATTGCGGGAGGACGTCCTGATTTTCGGGAGACTCCCGCGTCATGTGCTCAAAAATTAATTTTGCTTGCAGCAACTTCAATTTGTAAAGTTTGCTACTTCAAAAGCATGAGAACCAAGTCATTGCATACAGTATTTTGCATCAAAATGTGTAAATTATATTAGAATATCAACTAAAAAGCTGAGTCAATACTAGTAGTAATTAAAAGAACAATTACAATTAGCAATGATTTCCATAGCTTCAGGGTTCATCAGCCAGACTGACATAAAGTACACACAAACCTCTCTACCTTGAAAAAGTTCATTGACTTTCATGTATACCACCCATTTAATAACTTGGTAAATTTACTGGGCCCGCATTAAATACTGGAAATACTGAGGACGGATTATGAGGGAAATTAAATTTATTGATTAATGATCAGGTTTGCTTAGATGCCAGTGAGGGAGGTACTTGCTGGTTGGTTGTAGTGTTTTCGTATCTTCTTACTGGATTTTACTTTAAATACTTGGGAAGCTTAAGGGGCAATATTAGTTCTTTGTGTACAAGATTTGATTGGATCAACTTAACACTTCAGCTACATAAATAAGCATTAAGTTACTTCCTAGCAAATCTACTCAGCCTGATAATAAGCACATCTGCTGCTGAATTAAGTGCTGGAAGTCCAAATCTTAATTTTCTTTTTTTTTTTTCTCATTAAGAATGATGCTCCTCCAATTCATACTGAGCTTAAGAAGAGAAATGATTCTCACAAACTTTTAAATATATGAAGTAGACTTTCTGAATACAATATAGAAATCTCAAAATAAGAGTACAAAATGCTAATTTAATGGGGATAAAATTGTTATCAATAAGTACACAGGTATAAACAAATAACCACTTTTTATCCATTTTTAATCAAATGCCAATTTTTTCAGCAATGTACTCCTATAATTAAATGCCAATATTTGATTCTCTTCCTGAGAACACTTCTTAAAATTCATACCCTGGGCTTTTGCCCGAGGAAAGACTGGTACACAAAATTGAACAGAAAGTAAAGGGGGGCTTATACCTGAGCAACTATGGTAAATAATTTTGAAAAAAAATACTAGCATCCAGTTTTTACTGAATTACAGCTTTATAAAGTCTACAAAAATCTTTAATAAAGTGATTAGGGCTTTAGTTATGATGGACGGAAGGTGGGTGGGCGCCACCCAGCTTTCACCCACCCTTAGTTTTCTCTTGCTACAACCATGAGTGATTACCACCCAATTAAAGGGTCTGCAAATAATATGGGAACTGACAGATACTTTGAAAATAAATATTGCTATTTAATCCTTCAGTAGATTCAGTCAGTGAACTTGACCATGAATAACTGATTTATCGCTAAAGATGAACCAACAATCACTAAGTTCAAAGTAATTGGTGAGATAAAATAGATTGATTTTAAAATATTTTATGATAGCTTAACTGATAATGTTCATTAGTGCCGACATTGCGATATCAAAGTAAAGGTCAATGATTGGTACATGTGTTTAGTATAAGGGGTACACATGTTAGCAGATTATGGCGCGATCAATGAGCAATGGGCAAACATATTCCAGTGGTGGATCCAAGAATTCAAAATAGAGTGAGAGAGAGGGGTCGGAGACAGGGAGGAGCTATTATTAAAGATGGAAGGTCTACAACACACGCATTCCACCATGCTGAGGTACAATATTTTATGGCTATGACACCTCCAGATGCCCAAAAATCAGTAGTCTCAAACTTTTTTTTCTCCTTTTTTCTATTCAAAAATTCAGTGGGGAGAGGCAGCTAGGCTCTTCAAATCCACTTAGATATTTTTACCGGAACTCTGATCATAATGCGCATATGAAAAAATATTAAACATTCACAAATAAAGGTTGTCCTATACTTTTTACATATTTATTCATAAAATATTTACAAAAATTTAGTTCAGTTAGCTGGTTTCTGAATCATTTCCTAAAAATTATACTGTAGTAGATAGAGCAAGTCAATTGTTGCTTTGCCACCAAGATAGAGGTTTAGTTATAAGCCAATGCACTGTAGGTTATAAGGTTGTAGAAATAATACAGCAGTTCAAAGAGCAGTCATTGGGGTAGACAAGACTTTTGAGACCTTTTGCACGACTGAGGTTAATGCAGGCATTCCAACGCAAGCCTGTAGAATGATTGCTTCTTTTTTAAATGCATTCTCGTTAGAGATGTTGAAAGATGAATATATCCAGACTGCGGAAGTCTTTATTTAGCATGGCAGGAGATGTGCTAATATGTACAGAATGCCTGGTTCAGCTTCCACCATTGTGTTATTGAAATGTTGTAGAGTAAATTAACATCAAGAACAACAATGGTGTTTGTGGATGTCTTTATTTAGCATGGTGGAGAATGTGAAAGTTCAGAATGCCTACTTCAGTTTCCACCATTTTGGTAATATTAAGGAAATTTTAACATTAAGAAAAACAGTAGTAAAATTTTAAGGCTAAAACCTTATACAGACTATCTAATCTTATTTGATAAAAACATGTGACAATGCCTAAATATGGTACTAATGACATCACATCATGACCATATAGGCATATCATGATTCTATATGGGCATAAAATAGTTTTTGTTATGTCTATATGGCAGAATAAGTGTAGTGTACAAAACATTTGGTTGTTTCCACTATTTTTTTATGGAGAAAAAATCTTAACATGAAAAACACTAGTCAAATTTTTGTGTGAGAATAAAAGTACCTAATTTAAATGAACATTTAGGTAGTGTAATAATGACATTGAAAATTGAACAAATCATTAAACTTTCTGAGTGAAGTCGCTCATGCATGACTTAATTCACTTTTAATTATAAAATGGCTATGTTGAACATGAACAATCAATTATAAAATTTTAAATGCTTGCACTTTGTAAATTTAAGTACGTTATTATTAAGTCCTATCCCGACTATCAAATTTTATTTTACAAAAACATGTGACTTGCCTAATTATTGTCATGACATCACATCATGACCATATATAGGAATATCATGATTACATATGGGCATACAACAGCTTTTTTTCCAAAGAAGATTTAGATTTCAATTAAAAATTAGAATGAGAGAACTTCCTTCGTTCGCCAATTAACGACGACACATAACGATTAACAATGACACACAACGATCCTGTTCCTACACAATCTTTGTATATAGGCCTTTAAATTGGTCGGGAAGCAAAAAACTTTATTGTTGAGGTTACTTAAATCAGCAAAAACTACTTTTGATGCATTTCTTTAGAAGTTATTTGACATCATTCTATTTAATTTTTTTCCCCAATTTTATGATCAAAAGAACAGTAGGAACCAAGCTAACAACACTATGTTGTAAGAACATTACAGCATTACAGTTTGGTATAGAAAAAGTTTTGAAGAACCATAAAAACGTAGAACGCAATTTCTACTACATACGTTAACGTTCCTAGA